CTCTCTCTCTCTCTCTCTCTCTCTCTCTCTCTCTCATTGTAAAGACACCACTGAAGACCTCTCTCTCTCTCTCCTCAAAACACAATTAGCAAACAGCAGCAAGTTCTCCACGCTGCCGATGCTCCGCAACTTTATAGTCCACCGTGTCTTGAAACATGCGAGAGTCCAGCACACAGTCTGGGCTCCCATAAACAGCTGCTTGCACACTCGCCATGAGTTTTGCTATCTCTCTTCCAGAAAACCCCTCTGTTTTCTTAGCCGCTTCTCGAATCACATCTTCATTGATATCCTTCACCGTTATCTTTTGTTGCTTTGACCGAAATAACGAATTCCAAATTGGTGCATCATTGTTCTCTCTTTGGATTATGTATTTGTCCAAGTAAAGTTTCAATAGCTTGAAGCGCTCCTCTTCACCTGGAAGAGGGAACTCGATGACTTCGTCAATGCGATCGGTAATGGCAGCATCGAGGTCACCAGGTCTATTCGTTGCAAGGACGAGAACTATATCCCGTGATTGATCCCCGGTTCGAAAGAGAAGTGCGTTTAAAGCACTCCTCTGAGCTTCACTCATTTGAATACTATTACGCCTGAATTCATATGCAGTGACGCAAGAATAGTAAGTAAGGGGATGTTTATGTAAACTCTGAAAATTTTAAAACTAGTACATTGTAGATGTAGTAAAATCTAAAATGAATTTAGCCAAAAAAAATAGTATTTAAATGTGAATGTATCTAAAATGCAGCTAAGCGAAATACATAGATAAACTCGGTGAATGTGCTCAAGATGCATACAAAAGTTAATTTCTCAGGTGGATTTATAAAGTACGAGTTTTCTCAAGAAAATCCTGAAAAAGTTAAAAATCCTGAAAATCCTAAATTTCATTGTGGTCAATGTATTTTCTTCACCAAATCCATGACATCGTGTTCAATGCACTACCATTTGGTAGTTCTATTTTTCCCCCTTTGACATTAGCAGTGTTCAATGCTCTACCATTTGGTAGTTCCATTTTTCCCCCTTTTACATTAGCAGTCCGCAAAACACAGCTAGTAAGTGCCACAATGCAAATAGTTAGAAAAGTGTCTCAACTCCTTTCCAACATTACTGTACAGCGTGCAATCACATACTGTCACTAATCCATTATATTCCCTAACCTGTACTTATCTCAAACAAAACCTTTACCCACAGTTTAAAATTCAGGTTTCCATGAACTTTACATAATCCGTAATTTTAAACATAACATTTCTTTAGTGAACTTTAGATCTTCATTTGTGCATTTGAAAAAAATTATAAGAAAGGCCAAAGAATTAAAATCCCACGATATAAAGAAAATTATATTATTATAATTCAAAGGCAATTGCAAATAGCTTAATATTACACGGTGCAGACTGCTGCAGAACTTAAATATCACATTCAAATTTGGCATGTGCCTGGCTTAAATGGAACAATTACCAATAGTGTTGCTGAAGGATATACTGAAAAGCTGAATGTAATTTTGAACAATAAATCTATTGTTCGACCCATTCCATGCACATGGCAGAAAAAGGAAAATATAAAGGAACGCACTCCAACTTTACCTTGAGAAAAATACTGAAAAGATCAAAGCTTATCAATTTCCAAGAATATACTATCTTAATGACATCTTCCCGAAGGACAGATCCAATAACCCAGTGAACTCAATGCAAATCTACAGAAAAGGCGCTTGATAGACAAATAGACTAAGAAACATGATATGCCACACACATTGAAAAGCGTTAAGGTTTTAACAAGCCACTAAAATTATCTTAGCAATGTGAAATCCTGACCATGACCAACTCCAACATCAGATCCAATAACTACACACCATGCAAGTAGGCAAGAAGTTTCATTAAAAGAATCGATACACTGAGAATAAGAATATAAAATAACTTACTCGCATAGAAATGCATCTGCCTCATCAATGAAGAGTAATAAACCCTTCCTTGACTTTTTAGCCCAGTCAAACAGCTGATGGATTTTGGTTACAGCCTGTGAACCCAAGGGTAAGACATCTCCTCCTGTCATCATGGCATAATCCAAACCCTGCATAAAGTCACACAGTGTTTCCATTAATAAACCTGGACCGTAAGAAATACATTCCATGGTCAATCCAAGAATGCAAGTAGAGAAGCAATCCAACAATTTATTAAATTATTGATCAAATCACAGTCACATAAATCATTGTTAGTAAAAATTTCATAGCCGTCCAAACGGAATGACAATTACAATAAATTGTAGAGTATGAATTTCCCTAAGCGCCTCCCTGTATGCCACATAGTTTCATGAATATTAATATTTTTAAAATTTAATCGATGTTGATATTTAACTAATTTGTTTATTTCTCTGTAGTTTTTTTTCCACATCTTTCCTATTTAATAGGGATACTATCTCTCCCACATAGTTCCCTCTATTTCTGTCCCACATGTCTCCCACAATCCTCCATGCAATTCTTTCAAGGACTTCATGTTTCTCCATGTGTAGTTCTAAAATGACTATATCAATACAATATGTATGGTTTTCTGATGTGCATTAGATTAGAGACAACATCTATCTTTTCAACATTACGCAATGCATTGACATTGAATGGTGTCTCCGGTATTAAATAGCTAACCATCTCCATCAAAATAGGTCATGAAATCCTAGAAACTAGGAAAGCCTCCTACACCAATATTAATTAAACTAAAATCCTTTAAATTTTCCCAAAACATAAAATAAAAATCCCTTTTTGACCCCTATATGAATGTCCCTCAAAATTAATATCAACAATAAAAATAAATAAAATAATGAAAAAAATAAACATCTCAGATGCGATTTGCATCACCATGTTTGTTTTCTGAGAAAGCAGTAGAAACTGCAGTATATGGGGGAGTGCTTTCACAGCTTTTAATGTTAAATGTGAGAAAGTAGAGATCAACCAATCTAGTTGTGAAAGCGCATTCCCAGGTTGATTAAAAAGCTCTCTTGGCAAACAAATTTTCCCGTGGCCCTCAAAAGGTGCTTTCCCAATAAACAAACATGACCTAAGTTAAAATACCTACTATGGCATAAATCCCATATTGATGTTGTTCTTTGTATTCTAATATTCTTCATAACCTTTTTTAAATTATTGACCACATCAAAAGGGTGTGCCCTCAAGAAGGCTCATAGCGCATCAGCCCCCCTAGGTCATTATGTCTGCGTCTTGCCTTTGATAACATCTCTCATGGCCGCTACTCAATTGTGAATAAAACGAAGCCAAACAAGAGCACAATTAACATACAGGGCTGTGCTGTGCTGCTGCAACCAAGTTGGAAGATCACTGAAATAGAGGGCGACTCTAAGAATGTCATTAGGTGGCCCAATGGAAATCTGAATATTCTTAGCATCTTGACGATGTCTTTGTAGAAAATCTTTGAAATCACAAACACATTTAACCATATATATGGAGAAACGCTGATCAGCTAGCCGCTCAAAGATGGGTGACAAAGACATCTCTTGCCAATTAAATTTTTATTTTGTTGACATTTTACTCAATGGTTCAAAGAACCAATTTTCCAACAACATACTCATATACCTCAATTTTAAGTAATGAAATAGAAGTACGGTTAATCAAAAAAGAAATCAAATCAAATGTAAGGAAAAGTGTTAAGTAATGAACTACCCCAAAGAAGCACTTTAGTAATCCCACAACAACAATAAGATTAATTTTGTTCATATAAAATTCATGAGATCAAATTATAAGAAACCCAAATTATCTTCATAGGATAGACATGATGATCTCCAATTGACCAACAAATGAAGACAAAAGAGAAGACATGCAACCTTACCGATTTCCGTGCAATTTCCCTAGCAACCATAGTTTTACCAGTACCAGGAGGTCCATAAAAGAGCATGTTTCGGAATGGGGCCTCATGAGATTTAGTGTTCGCTGTGGCCCGAGCAAGTTGTTCTATCCTCCTTTGAAGTGAAGGATGCAAAACAACATCACCAAGGCTGCTTTTGTTTCCAGAGGAGCCTACATTTCCAGGTTCATTACTTGCACCAGAAAGTTTACGTACACCTCGAGAAACAAATCCAGACCATGGATATTTTGCGATTGATGACTCTCTAATCAGTGAAGGTTGTCCCAAAATCCTATTAACATAGCCCCAAACTACTCTGGCACCTTCTCTGAAAGTAAAGAAAGAGGTTAAGCATGTGTGAACAAAGTGAACAAAATATCGTATATGTCTAATTTGCAAAAACTAAAAATAAAACTAAATAAATAATAAAAATCTACTATTTCAAATTATATATCTATAAAAAGAAGTCATTCTGAACTAATAGTACAGCTTCTGAACATGAATCTCTACATATTCAATGTTAGGCAGACTGTAGCCATGGATATTCTTGGAAGTCGTTTAATGTTATTTCCAAAGGACACTATACTTAATGGTACTCTACCATGTGTCCATCAATGAAGTTCATAGATATCCACACCAAATGGGATAAGCAAAAGAATGACAAGGTTTTCGATAACAAATCCCAAACCTAGTAGTGTAGATTCCAGCAGCAGCTGCAGTGGCTCCGCCAATGGCAAGAACCAACCTGCTACGGTCATTCAGTAATATCCTAAAACCACCTGAAAATGGTGAGAAACCAACATATTAGGAGCAGATATCTTACACAATCTCATATTGAGGAAAAATGAAGCCCGTGTGATATGCATACATGTTTTTGTTTTTTCGGATAACTTACGGTTTATGCAGACATGCATAAATGGAAGTAAACCTAAATACTTTTCTGTATTTTCTTTTTAAAAAAAAAACACATTAAAAAAACTGTATTCTACATGGATAATGAGTGTTTTTTCAAGAAAATGCATGGATATACATTAATAACTTTATTGAATAAACAACAAACATTAGAAAGACAATGTGCATCAATTAAACAATTAAATGGGCATGGAACATTGACAATAAATGGCCCAATCTTTTGTTGAGGAACTCGATATGCTGGATGATTTCACTTATTGACAGTAAAGATTTATGTTCCAACACTCAAGATGATTTGAGTTGCTCAAAGAGTCATTCTTATTGGCCAAAAATTAATTGAAAAGCCAAACATACAAAAATTTCTTCCTAACATTGATCCGAAAAAAAACTACTTACAACACTAAAATTTGTATCATCAAAGGGAAAAGAACTCATAGGCACCACCATTGAACCTGAAAATCCCTTCTTCCTAAGATATGCACCTTCTCCACAAGTGTCACTCCCTCTATTGTGAGATCTCCCCAACAGTGAAATAAAGCCACACAAATCTCACAATATCTGTTTGGGACTAATTTACCCATAATAAGTAGTTGAAGGAGATAAAGAATATTTTTAGATCCCATCACATCCCACAAGAAGAAGAAACCCCTTAAAAAAATGTGAAAGGGCCAAGATGTGCAACGAATGCTGTATCCATGTCCAGTGCATCTATACGCACAATAGAAAGAAAAAGCTGTGGTAGCTGATAATAGAAGATAGATATAAGCACGATATAGCAGGGGTAGATCCTTTGCTGTAATACTTGTATGCATACTAGCGAAAAAATAGAGCACCCAGGAGATGCAACATGTTTAGAAAGCATGCCCACTGCTTAAAATTGTTCAATGTAAATAAGAGGGTGCCAACCCTACCAATGTCACTCTAAAAAAGCTGAGATTGCACAAAGCATCCATAGGCACAAATCAAGGTGCAACAACAAGAGAATAATCACACGTAACTTACTCATCCATGAACCACATTGCACGCAAAACCCAGGGAACACATTTTCCAATCAAAAAGGCACATTGACCTAAATCATAATACTATGCAGATGCACTTCTTCCAAAAGCTCTTACATAGTAAAGTTCGAACTAAAACAACTAGTCCGGCACGCACAGCTAATACAATTACTAGTTTGGTTTTTTCTGTAAGGCAATGCTTATAGATTTTTTACTCAAGAGATTAAACTGCATAATGAACAATCACTTAAAGAAAAACAATAGAGGTTTCATCGCAGGATTCATGCATTGCACTAAACTGTAAGACATTTTTAAGTGCATGAAGGTCTCCACCAGATGATAAGAGGCATTTGGATGTGCTATGCCAATAAAAATCATACAAAGTTTTCGAAAGTCCATCGAAGAACTAAGCCAAAAATTGAAGACTACGAACAATGAACATCATAAAATTAGTAAAAGTCTGTACATTGTGTAAATTTTTTAGTAAATTTTTAAGGAAGCATTTATTCAATCATCATATAATTGTAAAATTAATAAAACAGTTTCTTTTTTATTCACTAAGAGATCATCAAACCATATAAAACATTTTTACATGAAGATCATGAGAGATAGGGAGTATTAAGAAGTTCCAAGGAAATCAACCCAATGTACCTTCAATGTGACCAAAAGTAGTATTTATTGCTGCAATCCATTTCTCACGTTCACCCTTCACTCGTTCTAAAAGCAATCTCCTGTTTTGCTCCTCAGTTTGTTTTGCTTCATGAGCTCGTCCTTCAGCCTCAGCCATAGCTTTCACCCTAATTGTCTCGCGTTCAATCTCTGCCCTCTCTTTCTCTGATAGGCGTAGTTGTGCTTGAATCTGCTCTTCAGTTGAGCGTCTTGCTTGCTCTCTGCGTACAGAAGACTCCTCTTGCATCTTCACCAGCTCAACATTTTGTTTCCTCTGAGTTTCATGTTCGGCCTGCATAAGAAAGGCAATAAATTAATGATAAACCCCAAACATCACAGAGAGAGAGAGAGAGAGATGGAAGATTTCTACCTGCATTCTTTTTCTAGCCAGCTCATCTTCATAACGTGCTTTTTGTGCCCTTGTTTGTGCTTGTTTCTGTATTAAATCTCTTTGCTCTTCGGCAAATTTTCTTTGCCTCTCCTGCAAAACAAAGATTATGGTTAGGAATATGGCAACTAGAAATATTAAAATCATGAATTTTATGCATATAGTGCAAAATTGAAACAAAAAGCTTCATGTAACATACCACCAGCCAACTAACATTGGTTTTCGTTATTCTACGCAATGAGAGCATGGAAATACCAAGTATGTCATAACTCTGTCTGACCAGTTGGCCATCAATATAATAGATATTAGAAACTAGAAAGCATGAGCGTTCTCATGACACCCTTTACCAAAGTCTACGGAAAACATCATAACAAAGGCACAAATCTACAAGCTACCAAGTACAACCAAATGTCCACAGAAAAATGACATGACTATTTGGGGTTGCTTTGATGTAAATAAAATCAACTAAAGGTAGCCGCCGCAAGTCTGGAACACAAAAACAGATTGTGATCCCAAGCAGATGGAACCTTGTAGTTTAGACCTTGAAACGCCCCATTTTCCTCCACAAATATGGGAAAGATAATTATAAACCAAAACGGTGGGCCGCCAAATGCAATGCATAAGTTCAACCAGCCGAATAAGACCCCAGCATGGTAACTGCCGGAAAACCACTGGAACTGGATAAAGTCAGTGAAAGCAGCCTCAAATCAGGTTCAAATATTAGAGACATACATAAAATGAGGAAACGTAACTCTCAAGTAAAAACAAACGAGATTGGAGCTAGGTGCAAGGTCGAACTGGTGAATGGACATCTAAAGGTTCTAAACTCTAATCTAAGTCATCCCTGAGGCGCCCTCCAAAACTCAGGCCATTCCAATATCGGATGATTGAGATATGGGCATCTAAAGTTAAAGACCGCTAAAAGAGCGCGGTCTGGGCCCAAAACAACCCCAAATTTAAAGGAATACGTAGAAATCCATGTCTAAATAAGTTGAAATTTTTATGGAAGCAAGGAATTCTCTTAAAAAGCATGAGTTCCAAATTTGAGCTCAATCCAATGTTCGAAAGTGTCGTTTTTCATGCAATGTTTGGGGACCATCAAGGGACCAGCAGTTTTTGCGCAAAAAACCATGATGTGGACTTGCAATAGCAGTTCATGAACAGTTTACAGCAATTGACAAGTTTTCTTCCTACCAAAGACTCGACAATATCTCGTGATCCCCATGGCCAAATAAGCTCAAATTTTGATATGTTTCCCATCCAAAGAATTTTCCATCTATATAGATATCAATGGGGTTCTTACCACTGATTATAGCTAGATCAATATAAAAAGTATGAGATAAAAACTGAGCTCAAAGTGTAGCAGACCTCGATGCATATTTCGACTCATATTTCACAATCCATGAAGCATTTTAAGCTGAAATTTTGCAGATATGATCTTCATTCAAACCCCTAAACATCTATACAATTTGTTGTGGGGTTTAAAACCAATTGAAGGTCGGATCTCAGAGAAAAGTTGTCCAAAAGATGAAGACTGCTGAATTTTACAGAAGTGGCCAATAAAATGATCATAACTCCTTGATTCCTGGATTTTTTTTATCTAAATTTCTTCTCAAATACTTCAAGGATGATTCCTCACAGTATTTGGTGATGAATCGCCAAATAATGGCCAATAAAGGGAGAAATTGGAAGGAATTCAAAGGGGTATGGAATTCTTCAAGTTTGATGCAAATTCATAAAATCAATCATAAACCCTAGAAAATCTTGGGAGTGTTTGATCCAAATTTGTTGCAAGTGGGGATGAAGGCACATACGAGAAACCCTCCAAGGGCAGATTCATGATATTTAGCAACTTTAGACATCTCCAAGTGGTCCATTTTGAAAAACCTCAAGCCAACTTTTGATAGTCCATCCACCTAAGCCAGACTATTGATTTTTACCCATGTTTCCTAAGCATTCTATATAAAACTATTAACCCTTATTTTAGAGGGGTAAGAAAATTTGATTAAAAAGCTTAGAGAGAGAATCCTTATGCAGGAGCATCCACCTAGAGTAAGAGACAAACTTCTCTACCAAAATTATCTTGGGTTTTGTGGTCTTCAAAGGCTTAGAGTGGTGGTAAATATGATATTTTACAGTGGAATATGCACTTTAGTGGGAGTGTGTGTGTGTGTGTGTATTGATTAACCAAGGGTTGAGTGGTTTATGGCCGTGATCATGTCCAAAAACCTTACCCCTGGGCATGTAGCACTACTTAAAATGGTTTACAGTGAGTCGTCCCTTGTTGAGGTCAAAGAGATGCCCAGAGATGATGTTTTAAGCCAGGAGAACTGGGACATCTCTTGTCTGCGGTTATAGGCTTGTGAAAGCAAGGGCCAAAGCCTCAACAAACTTTCGCACAAACCTCAACAAACTTTCGCACAACATTTACACATGACAGCTGCATTACTGAGAAGCAGCTCTACAAAGGAACACGTGTACATGTGCATAGAGCGAGCCCCCTTTGCACCGTGAAGACAACTGCTAGAGTTGCTCTTAAAGGGGGGAACTGAAATCTACATTCTGGGATCATGGTCCCACTATTTATTATCCAACTTTGACAAGCAAATCATGAATCCTTGCTTTGAGACTATGGGTATTGGGTCTCTGTTGGTTGGATAAAAAAATAGTAATGGATCATGGTTTCTGAGGTGAGTGTAGTGCCTTTATTGTTGCTAATTTTGATCCATTGGTACCAGTCCACTCTTTATATGGCTTATATTTTATTATAAATGTTTTTATCATTTTTAAATATTTTTTTTCAGAATTCTAAAATCTTATTTCGGTTGTAATATTCATCAAAGGCTATTTCTGAATTTTTCAAAACTTAAAATAACATGTGGGAACTAGGATCCAGCCCTACGTGCGTGTTTTTTTTTTTTTTAAGAGTGGGACCACTTGCCACCCCTAGGGTACCACACCCAAAATTATATTAAAATCAAAAAGTGGGCACACCACTTTTTTAGGAGAAAGGGGGCACGTCCCACTTTCTTAATATTTGATTTTAAATTACATCGAAAATCTTTATAATTTTAAATAAAATTTGGTTTCCTATTCTAGTGGAAGTTTTAAATATAGATTATCCTTGATTTCCTATATATTATAGGAGACTTAGATAATGACAAGATTGGTTATATTTTAAACTTAAATGGGAATTGCATATGATTCGTAACTCAAAATCTAAAGGATAAGATTCCTAACTTTCCACCCAAAATCATAATAACTGATTTGTGAGATGAATGACATTGACTAAATCTCTTTCAACCCACAGATATCCTAAATTATCCTAGAAGTATAGCTGGAAATTAGATGAGGCATACCTAAAGAAATCTTATTCGAATTGGGAGATAGATTTCCTTCTATTTAAAGACTTAGTTCGAACCTCTTTCAAATATAAAACAAGATCTCTCTCACACACACCAAGTTCTCTCTCTCCATCACGCCTTATTTTTTTCTCTCAAAAAATTTGGAGTCATGTGTCTCCCCTCTATTTACCTCATAGAGAGGGCACGTCACCATCTTGCCTCTTAGATGTGTATAGTGAAACCCTAGAATAAGGATTTGCTGTATTTTGAATAAAAGAAGGGAGAAGCTCAGCCTAAAGAGAGATCAACTCGTAAATTCAAACCTATTTTTTTTATAGGGTTTGTAGAAGCCCTAATTAATTTTTTGAGCTCTCTAAAATCCAAGATTAAAAGGTATCGCCTAAAACGTTTCTCATCTAAGAATTTCCAGCAACAACTAAAAGAGTAAAAGTTCACCACCGGTCAAGGAATTGGGAGTGAGGAGAACCAAGACCTATGAGGATAACTCCAAGCATCTTCCAGTACGTATTCCCAGTAATTTCAAAAAATTTCTTTTACTTTTATTCAATATACTTGGATTCTACGTACAAATGCCACTAGTATTGTAAATAAAAAATACTATCTTAGACACAACCTAGGATCTTTATTTTCGCTACTAAAAGAAATACAAACTATACAGGAACTTTAAACAAACTTCCACTATAACTTAATAGTACAAACAAGTCCCTGAAAATTCACATAAAATAAAACATAATCTGAAAATTAATTAAAACTACTGAGAAGATTTATTGGAAGATGCCTGGAGTTCCCCTCATAGGTCTTCTGCACCCCACAAGTGATTCCCTGACCGATGGCGTATCCTTTAGGTGTTGCTGAAAATTCCAATATGGGAAGCTTTTCGAGCGATACTTTTTAATCTACAGTTTTAGAGAGCTCAAAAACTTAACTAGGGTTTCTACAAACCCGAAAATAATAAATTAGGGCTGAATTTGTGAGTTGATCTCTTTAGGCTACGTTTTTCCCTTCTTTTCTTCAAAATGCAACAAATCCTTACTCTAGGGTTTCACTATACACATAAGAGGAGAGAGGATGGCATGCCTCCTAATGGGATAAAGAGAGGGGTGGCACATGAATTAAAATTTTTAGAGAGAGAAAAATATGGCATGATGGAGAGAGAGAACTTGGTGTGCGAAAGAAAGATCTTGTTCTCTATTTGAAAGAGGTTCAAACTAAATATTTAAATAGAAAAAATCTATTTCCCAATTTGAATAGGATTTCATTAGGTATGCCTTATCTAATTTTCAGCTAGATCGTTTAGAACTATATAGGAAATCTATGGGGATGAGAGAGATTTAATCAAAGCTATCTATCCCACAAATCAGTCATCATGATTTTAGTTGGAAAGATATAAACCTTAACCTTAGATTTTGACCCATATCTAACTCCTATTTAAGTCAATGTTCGCAAAATCAAACCGGAACGATTAACCGGTTTTGAGGCTAGGAGCGATTTTAACCGGAACCGGATTAACCAGGGTGGTTAACCGTTTAACCGGTCAAGTAGTTTTTTTTTTTAAAAAAAAGTAAAAAACGTCCAAAAGAATTAAAAAAAATTGAAAAAATAGAAAAACTTAGATTAATTGTATACTCTTATATTACATATATTTATCTTACAAAAAAAATTGAAACAACTTTTTATGTAAATTAAGATATGCTGCCAAAACTGAAGATCTAATAAGATATGCTACCA